TCGAAATACTTTCGGACACGTTTTGGTAACCAAATAACCAACAAAATTTCCGGCATTTTTTTTTTTGCGTAATAACTATTTAACGGTTAACCTTGTGCAAAAATAGTTTCGTGCAATTGTAAAGGTCTTATAAATCTCTACAAATTTGCTTTAAAAATTATTTCTCTCAAGCAAATAGTATCAGAGCTACGACATTTTAAAATTTCACCCAATTTTCTTTTTTATCCTGAAATTGCCCAAAATTACTAATGGTCTCTCTAATGTACTATTTTTGAATTCTTAACGTCATTATAAATGAAAAGCGAGTAAATACTAATGTTTTTAATACTAACTGAGATTAAACTCGCGATTTCACGTTCTGGTAAGAGTGGCAGTAGGCCTATACGATCTGGCAACTAACACGATTTACTTACATTAATTGCATTATAGATTAATAGTGTAAAATTAGGTTCGTTTCTTCTTTTTATAATAACAATAATAATAATAATTATTATTATTATTATCTTCACATCGGCCATTTCTGACCACGCTTCACGTTCTCTTCCGAGCCCAAATCTATCCCTGAGGGAGATTAACGTGTCATTATGGGGTCAGCTTTTCGGCTGCATTATTTAGTAAGACAAGTTTGTTAAACCTTGAATGATGAATTATGAGGTGATAGGCTGATGATTATCAGAGATGATAGTAGCTTTTTTTAACCATCCCAGCATTCGCCTGTATGACCGAGGGGAACCACGAAAACTCCGGTGAGGATGGTCGGCCAGGAGATCGAACCTGGGCCTCCCGACTGAGAAGTCATCGCGCTACTCACTGAACCCCTTAATAATAATAATAATAATAATAATAATAATAATAATAATAATAATAATAATAATTGTTATAGTTATTATTTTTCTTATTATTCACAACCACAAGAAAGACTACCGTATCCACAAAGACATTTTATGTACAAGGTTATGAAGTTTTCCTTGAATCCATAAATGCGGGTGAAAAACGTCAATATGAATGGTGTCGGAAAATAATACGCATTGCTAACGAAAATTTGGTAACACAAGAAGCATGGTACATTTTCTGACAAAAGAAATTGTGCAGGATGACAAGAAGAAGAAGAAAAAGGAGAAGAAGAAAGCAAAGGATTTCGCCTATCCACTAATGTTCATGGTACCGTGCAATTCATACATTCTTACCTTGAAGACAATTCAGATGAATGACACTTTCTGATTGATTTGTTGGGCGAAAATATGGAGATTACCGATCCTACAGCGGCACAGAATAACCGTGACTTCTTCAAAAGTTTGGAGAAAACATATTGAAAACAGGCAACAAACAGAACATCTGTTGTATATTTTCGAAATGTTGTGTATAAAATATTAAATGACTTCTGGTATCGAAACAAGAAATATTGTATCGCAGATGAGTGTTTGAGGGTCTTCAAAACAGCAGCAGACTTATTCACAGGTGTGTCAAATAGAAAAATAACTACCAACAAACAATTTCTTAAATAATGTAGGATCGGTCATGCCGGATACGTGGCTTTTATTGTTTGAGTCAGGGATTTTAGATCTCAAGAATGGTGCAATTGATTAATGAAACAAAAAATGAATATCTTTGGCACATGCCGTCGTATCGGTAGTATGGCAAATTTTGTTTCTCCTCCCTTTTGACCGCATACAAGAAATTTGGATCAAAGTTCCTTATTGATATGTGATTTGCTATTGGATTCGCTTCATCGTACTTTAAAACTTCATTACTTGAATCGTCTCACGTTCTATTAAATAAAGAATCAAAACTAAATAATGAAGCATTCTGTGAGTTCATATTTGACAACGCAGATCGTAATGTGAATACATTGGATAGTCTAATAATTATTAATACGAGTATTTTCATTCTATGGGAGGAATAATGACAATAACTACCCTTATGTATCGAGTTTCTTCTACGACCAAATCCTCAACAATAATACGTGTTATTTGCTGATTGCATTCATATTGATGGTATTCAACTGCAGCGATTATTGATATCAAAGAAAACTTTGTAACCTTGTGCACACAATTTATTTGTCTATAGAACAGTCCTTTTGTGATTCCATAAATTCAGACGTATTGTCTTTCCCACTCAGGAAACAATAGGTTTTGAAACTGAAGTATCTATTATGTGATCTAAGAGCTGTTGATATACCTGGCTGAGACTGCTCACTTTCCTTTGGAGCTGATGCAGAAATAAATTTTGGACTAATATATTTAGCATGACAAGGTTTAGGTATAGTCTCATCTTCCCATAAGAACAATTTTTGAACTAGACTCTCTTCTTCTTCTTCTTCTTCTTCTTCTTCTTCTTCTTCTTCTTCTTCTTCTTCCTCACAGCCACTTCACCTCGTCCAAACGCCCCTCACACATAGAACACCCTAGTGACATACATACCTATACGTTATTTATTGCGAACCTCATTTACAAACAGGATCGAGAGGGAAACGAGTGATGTAGAAGCGCTATTAGGAGCGATGGAGGAGATACGGCGTGGGCGAGATTAAAGATTCCAAAATCTGTTGTAAATGATAATCACCAGAACAGTCAGAC